CATAACTATCACACGATTTCTATTTCAGTGTTATCTATAAATTTAGACTTTGTTACAAACTATTACTATTACAGTGCTGAAATCTAGAACCCAAAAATATTGCCCATTTGGCATCAAATCTTTTTATTCTTTTCTATTCTTTCACCTTTCCCACTGACTCTAAACCTACTAGCTAACTTCATTTTAAAACTTAATGAACTCCACCCCTTCTTCCCTGCTAAGAATAAAATGTATCCCTTTAAAATTCATACATCCAAACCATAACCCTCAATGTGACTGACAATATTTGGAAATAGGGTCTTTAGTAGGTAACTCAGGCTAAATGAGGTCATAAAGGTGGGGCCCTAATGTGCTGGGACTGAAAAGGATCAATATCTCTGGAGGTACCCCTTCCCCTTCCCCCTCCCCCCCTCCCTCCCTCCCTCCCCCGCCCCTCTCTCACACACACAGTTTTTTATAGAAGACTTAGATCTAAGACACTCCTATACCCCTTTTTGGTTGTCAGCCCTTTTTTGGTTTCACTTGTTAAAATTTTTCCTATTTGCTGTTTCTTTCTCCAATAATTATCCAGTCTCTAAACACTACTTTTTTCCTTAGTAGTCAAGTTTTCTGAAGATAATATTAACTCCTTAATTCTCACTTATCCCTTAAAATCTACTATATTCTAGTTGTCCTTTACACCATTCTACCGAAAGTGATTTTAATAAAGTCATAAATTACTTATATATGTATCAATGGCCTTTTTAATAATCATCATCCTACAAAATGTACCTCAGTATCTTACAATATCATTCATCTGAGACAAAAAAATAAAGGTACAAGTATAGATTTTTCAGGAAGATAATTAGCTCAGTTCTAGAATTTAACTCTGAATTAAATACAAGACGCAAAAATGTCAGGCTGCACATACAAACTGGACATTCAAGTTTGTAAATACAAACTAGACTGTAGAAAATGAAAGGTTGAGGAGCTGGGATTGTGGCTTAGTGGTAGTGCACTTGCCTGACATGTGTGAGGCACTGGGTTGGATTCTCAGCACCATATAAAAATAAATAAATAAAATAAAGGTATGTGTGCATCTACAACCAAAAATAAAAAATTAAAAGAAAAAGAAAATGAAAGATTGAGATAAAATGTCAGGGAGAAGGTACAATAAATAAGAGGATTGCTAAGAATAGAACTCTCGAGAATACTAATATTTAGAAATGGTGAAGAAAAGAAAAACTTACAATGGAGATTCAATGAAGCAACCTGAATTTAGAAGGAACTAGGAATAAATATAATCTAAAAAATTTTTTCGGAAAAGGTAAAAAATTTTTAGAGGCCTCATATCCTCAATGAATAGATTTACACACTTTTTGAGGACAGAGCTTTTCTTTATCCAGTAAGTAATCAAAAAAGAAAAAAAAACAATGATATGAAATCTTTTCTACAATAATATGAAACATGTAGTTTTTTACCTTTCTAATTTTCCTATGACTTATAATTTAATTTGCAGCTGTGCCACAGAGGCTTCGGCCTTACAATTAATTAGTGAAATCTGATTTTCCCCCTTTTTTGAGACAAGTCTCACTAAGTTGTCCAAGCTGGCTGAACTTATGATCATTTCACTCAGCCTTCCAAGTACCTAGGATCACAAACACATGAAGCTGTGCCAGCTAATTTATTTTTCAAATGTCTTAAAATGCTTTTTAACTGTTATAAAGATCATGACTAAAGAGTTTGCTCTTAAATTCTCAAAAAGCTTGAAATTCTGTTTTCTAAATGTATAATTTACTTTAAAATGATTTTTAATTCAATTTTAAGTGTTCATATGATAATTTTGCAACTTTAGTACCTTTTTTCTTTCCCCAGAAATTATAAATACAAAGACTCAATTACCAGGCACCCCCTAGTGGCAGTAAAGTCAAGAAGATTTTTTTAAAATAATTCTCACCAAAATTTCAGGAGAAAATGGCTTGTCAGTAAATAGTTTAAGAATTTGGTACTTTATGTTTTATTAAATTATTTAAAATTTACTTAAGAGTAAATTTACAAACTGAAAATTCATGAATATTCTTGAGAAGAATCACAGTAGGTGAAATAATATAAATAAACTCCCTTCAAGAGTATGTATTGTTTTAGAGAATATTAATACTTTATAGAAAAAGAACCTTATGTTTGCTATTGCACTAGAATTGGAATGGTGATATCTAGGAGCAGAACCTTATCAGAGTTGTTGCATTATAATTACTTTATTCTACAACTACCACCCCCCCCCAATCTAGCAACATCCACTGAACTGATTCCAGAGAAAAATGTAACAAAATATCAATAAAATCAATTAAATATAAAACCAACCACCTAAACAAAATAGTTTTTTTCACAGAATTTACTATTTTCATAATTTGAAATGGTATATAACTCTAGGAAATTTTTTTGTACACTATTATTTAGATGTCAAAATTATTTTTATTTCATGAAACACCAAATAAAATGAAAAAAATTACAAGTTAAATTAATTATTAGTGTTAGCTTTTAAGGTTTTCTTTTTTTGGAATGATTTCCATGAGGGTTGAAGATAAAGCTCAGTGGTAGAGCACTTGCCTAGCATTCAAAGGCCCAGGATTCAATCCCCAGCATCATAAATAAATGAATGAATTTATTTCCCATGAAATGAGCACTGAAAGTATGTTATAAAAAGCTAATTTCTTGGGGGTGGGGTTGTGGCTCACAGGTAGAGCGTTGACCTAGCACATGCTAGGCCCTGGGTTCAATCCACAGCACCACATTAAAAAATAAATAAAGGCATTGTGTCCAATTACAGCTAAAAACTAAATATTTTTTAAAAAGCTAATTTCTACTTATACCAGAAGAGATAGTGGTAAGGCTACCAATAAATAAATAAACAAACAAACCAACCCTGACTTTTTAGTTAGGTTTTACTAAAATCTATACTAATATGACTTTTATAACAGCAGGAATCTACATATCCCCTTTTTACATTGTATCTTTTGTTGGCCTTTGAACTTTTCTCTTATTGTTTCAACATAAGAAATGGCATCATTATAACTTGATAAAAATCCATGAAGTCAAATAGGAAAATACTTCTGTGCTTTAGTTCTCATTCTCTAATAAACACTGCCATTTCAGCAGTATTGTAGGCCCCTGCTTGCCTAGGGACTGAGTGATTAGCAATAAGAGGTCAGCCACATGGCAATGAAGAACATTTCCATTAGCCGAGGAAGACATTCTGATAAATCCGTTTAATCATACTATTGGAAAGCACAAGATTATAAACAATGATGCTCCTATCTGCTTTTAATGATGTGGATTACATACTATATGACAGTGATAACACTTTATTAACTAACTTACAAAATAATGTTCTACCTGACTAGATACAGAATCACACTTACAACTCTTTGTCATAAGCTCATCTGAGTTTTCTGTCAACATTACTATAAACACAAGGATTATGTTTGTAGTTTGTACATTTGTGATTATTTGTGCATATTCCACTTTTCATTTATATGATCTACATATAGAAGATGAAGAGCAATACAAGAAATTTTTATATTCTTAACCTAGAACAAACTATTTACAGACTATCAAATATAATTATGCTAAACTTAACTTTTCAGTTCAGTGATTTTCTACTTTGATGAAGCCAAATTTAAGATCCCCCCCCCTCAGTACTTACCTAAAAATAAGAATATTTGGTAGATGACTGGGGAAGAACTTAATGATATTCAAAGCTTAGGAATACAATTTTCTCTAGCACATAAACCAAGCAAATCCACAAACCAAGTTATATTAAAAAGAGGAAAAGAGGCCAGGCCTGGTGGTGCTTGCCTGTAACCCAATAGGCTCAGGAGGTTGAGGCAAGAAGATCCCAAGTTCAAAGCCAGCCTCAGCAACTTAGCAAGACCCTGTCCAAAACTTTAAAAACAAATAAATAAAGGGGGCTGGGAATGTGGTTCAGTGGTTAAATGCCCCTGGGTTCAATCCCTGGCACCAAAAGAATAAAAAATAACTAATGAATTAAAAATAAATAATAAGAAGAAATGTGTATAAAAATGTGTATAAAACTGAAAATTTAAAAATCAACTGTAGTTATGGGATAATATTGTTTAAAAGACTCACAAAATTATTATTCTATCATTAGTATAATCAGTTACTACAGATCATTTGCTTCATCTGGCAATAATAAATTTAATGTGCTATTAAATACTAAAATCTCTTTAAAATTCCATAAATGTGTTGAAAAAATGAAAACAAAAAACAATGATTTCCTCTATTTCTTTTTTTTAACATTTATTTTTTAGTTGTAGGTGGACACAATACCTTTATTTTACTTTTATGTGGTACTGAGGATCAAACCCAGTGCCTCACGCATGCTAGCCAAGTGTTCTATCTCTGAGCCACAGACCCAACCTAATTCCCTCTATTTCAAAGAGAAAATAATCTTAATAAAAATTTTATGTCTGTTTTCCCAGTTTTATTCTTCAGAGCCCAAAGAATATTCTTTAAAGGTATGTCTTCCTCCCTTTTCCCTAATACTGGAGTTTGAACTCAAGGCCTTACACATACTAGGGAAGCATTCTAATACATCCTCATTCACTGATTCATTCATTCATTCATTTTGATACAGAGTCTCTCTGGATTGCTAGTCCTCTAACTTATAATCCTCCTGCATCAGCCTCCCACCCAAGTAGCTAGGATTATAGGCACCACATGCCCAGTTTAAGATATATCTTCTTTTGCAATGAAAGCTCAGAGCTCCATTTATTCTTTCTCTTCCCTCTAACTCTAATTCTTCCCTTTCAACCAGAAAAGAGTCATTATAACTATTTTTAATATACTGGAGTTTTGCTAAAGATTTTCTTTGAGTAAGAAGATTCTGCCTCTAAAACTAACAAATTATCCAGACTAGATAGTTATAGCTTAAAGTAATAGCTTAAAGCAATTTAACAATCAAACTTTTCACTTCAGATTCCCAGGAAAAGCAAACACCTTACCCAGCATGACTAGATGATGAAGGTGGTGGCAAATCTGGTGTAAGGACATAAAGGCTGTTGTTTTTTGGCAAGTGTAGGGATTTTAAGACCGTCTGAAAAAGAAAAAATAAAACAAACATTTGTTGATTTATTTTTTTTTAAATAATACTTGAAAATTTAGCAATTTTCTAGTTTGACTTTTTGTCTTTTGGAAATTTCCTAAATAGGGTAATACAAAAGTGCTGAATACAAATAACCTAATTTCTCTTGTATATATTATAAATTAGTCAAATTATGACTATTAAAGTAAAATGTAAATTCTTTAGCTCATGAAGAGTTACAAATGGATAAACACACACCTGAGACTCATTTAATCTCTTCACTCTAGAAGTATATGTTTGCAACTAATATGCACTGATTCCAGAGTCATTATGACAAATATTAGCAATGAAGATTTTCAGAAATCATTAGACCTAAGAAAGATAAGATAATAGAGAGCACCTCAAGCTAATGATTCTGTAGATAAGGAGGAATTACACCCTGAGAGGTTACCTAACTTGTATATAAGGAAGTATTAATTAGCTCAATTTACTCTTACTCTAGAAACCTTTCCTGTTAAAGCTCTCTGTCTGGAGGGAATAAATTACCCTTGAGCCACATCTGACCTACCATCTAAATAAACCATATTTATTACATTTCTTAGCTACAAAATTCAAACATTTCAAACTCATAATATGATAGTAAATACTTACTGAAATACTTTTTGGGCAGCAATAACATTAGGAAGTATATTTTACATCACAGCTCAAGACATAAACTTATTCAACAGATATTTTATTGTGTCACATACTCCTTGATAGGATTACTCCAGCCATGGAGGATAGCACTGACTAGAATAGTCTAAAATAAAATTCCAGTCAGAATTCACATTTTAGTAGGAATAAATAAAGTGATCAACCTATATAACTGAAAGGGATGAGTTTTTGTTTGTTTGTTTGTTGTTGTTTTTGTTGTTTTTACTAAAGATAAATCAAGGAAGGAAGAATATGAGATATAGGAGCTCTGTGATTTAAAACAAGCTGGTTTCACTTGGAGAATGTAAATTTGAGCAAAGACCAAAAGTTGATAAGAGAAAAAAGCATGAGTATATATACACAAAGAATATTTCAAGCAAAGGAAAGAGCCAGTACAAAATGTTTAAGGAACAAGAAGGAGTTCAATGTAACTGGAGCCAAGTAAGCACTGGTAGGAGATAAGTCATACAGTAACAGCAACAATAAGGACAGAAAACATGTTGAACCATTTCTATTAATGTAAAGGTTTGGCTTTAATTCTGGATGAGAGAGAAGCTACTGTTGTAACATGATCAAATTCATGTTTAAAAAGAATTATACTGGCAGCCTGGTTCAGAATAGATGAGAAAGGGTTGGCAGAGGAGAGCAGGAGAGCAGGTTAATGAAATAAAATAAGATCAAGCTGATGGGGACTTGAGTCAGTGTGACAATAGAAGTGGGGCAAACCAGTTGGATTCTGGATATGAAGAAGGTGCCAAAACATTTCCTTACAAACTATATACGGAATATGAGAGAAAAGTATCAATGATGACCCTAAAATTTTAGCTTAAACAAGTAGAAGGATGAAATTGCATCAACTGATATGGAGAAGGCTAGAGATAAAGACTTACATTTTGGACCCACTAAATAGAAATGTCTACTAAACATTCAAGTAGAGAAAGTAAGTAAATGACTGGATATAGAAATTCGGAATTCAAGACACGTCTGATATGGATATATAAATTAAAAAAATATAAAATTACAGGAAAGAACAAAGTCATCAGCTGAGAGTAAGAATGAAGGGTAGTGTAGATAAACCAAGTATATACATTAGGATTTCCTAGCAACATTAAGGAGTGCTCTGAAAATCATGATCATGAATTTAAAAATATACTATCAGGATAATTTTGTTTGTCTCCAGCTACATTTTCCTATAAGACACAGAAAAGCCAGAGAGTTGGATTTAGTCAAAGTAAGGATTTCAGTCGAACATGAGGCATATGTATGCAAGAAAATTATAATGACTAATCATGAAATTTAATCTAGAGTAAAATGTGGAGAAAATGATATAATGGACATGAAAAGAGGGAAGAAAAAATGAACTGACAATATAAATTGGGTTAAGAATTGTTGGGATTAGGATATCTAAAATAAGTGAGCGAGAAAGATGAGATGATCAGCAAAAAAAAAATGGGAGCTTGAAATTAAGATAAGAGTTGTCATATTAAAAGATGATAAGACCACAGGTCTGAGCTAAGTGGAGAAAGATTTTTGTAGAGGAGATATTTATGGAACTGAAAGGTTAAGGTATTAGAAAAATCATTTACATTATATTAAGAATTAGGAAACAGTAATTATAAACCAGACACTAAAAATTATCAGGAAATAAAGGGTAATGACTTCAATAAGTAGATGATATAATCTTTTGACATGAAAATCCAAAGTCAAAGGAATTTTACAGAAGAAAAACAGATAAAGGTCTAGAAAAAGAAATGAGGAACAATGAGGCTGAGGGAGGAGAGAAGAGGATAGCAAGTTGGGAAGTCAGCCTGGGAAACACAGAAAGACCACAATGGAAAAGATGACCTCTGTCTTCAAGGGAAGAGTTTAATAATAGAAGGAATTATGCTAATGATTAATTCCTTCCACAGCAAATCTCTGCATGTAGCAAAAAAGTTTAAGACATCATAGAGGAAAACGGACAGAGACAGGTATGGATGTGTAGGGACTATGAGAATTTAAGTGAGGAATGACTTGGGAATCTCATACTCCTTGCAGTGATTGACAGGGGGGGGGGAAGGTGTAATGAAATTAGTCCAGACTAAATCAAAGCAAATGATAATACAAAGTTAAAGTATTAGAAAGCAAGGAATGGCTGTTTAGTAATACTTCTTAAGCATGCAGATGGAGGTAAGGACTCCTAGGAAAGGATGATCTTACATAAGCAGGGAATAAGAACTTATTCTTTTTTGCGCTATTAGGTATTAAATCTGGAGATGTTCTATCACTAAGGGCTATACAGCCCTTTTTATTTCATTTTGAGACAGGGTCTTACTAAGTTGTCCAGATTGGCCTTAAATTTATAACTTCTTGCCTCAGCCTCCTGAACAGCAGGGATTATAGGCATGTGCCATGGCAACCAGCTTGAGAGTATTACTGAAACAAAGGCTATGTTAAATATTATAACACACAGCTTAATCAACATTTTCAAAATGATTGCCTTAGCCAGTGTAGTGGTGTGTGCCTGTAATGGCAGCTAATAGTGAGGCTGAGGGAGAAGGATAAGAAGTTGGAGGTCAGCCTGGGAAACATCAAGACCCCACTGGAAGTGGGGGTGGGGGGGTGTTTCTCTTAAAAAACTACTGAAAATTCCATGCAAGATTTTTTCATAGTCACAAGTTTCTAAATAAAAGAATGAATAAATAATATCTATGTAAATGATTACATTTTGGTGTTTTACTTATTTTTGTCAAGACTGTTAGTTCATACTACTCTCTCTTTTTGTTTTTAATAAATCCATGTATAAACTAGAACAGCCAGAGGCTTGAGTTGTATGTAGTTCAATGATAGAGCACTTATCTATCATGCATGAGGCTCTTTTGAGATCTCTAGCATTACAAAAATAGAAAAACCACTTAGCACCAGTGGTCAGCAAATTATCAACCACTACAAATTCAGCCTGTTAACTGTTTTTGTATAGTCTGAAAGTTAAGAATGATTTTACATTTTTAAATAGTTGGGAGGAAGAATATCAAAAAGAAGTATATTCTCGTGACATGAAATTACATAAAATTTAAATATGTTGTCCATAAATAAAGTTACATTGGGACAGAATTATGCTTGCTCTTTCACATATTGTCTACGGCTGCTTTCACTCTTCCTTGACAGCCAAGTCAAGTAGCTGCAATAGAGACCTTAAGGCCCACAAAGCCTAAAATAATTATTATGGTAGTTTTATACAGAAAACAGTTTGCTAACTCCTAACTTATATCTAAACTTATAAATATTTTGTCTACCTGAAATTCCTGTAAATAACTTATTGAAATACTCTCCATATATCACATAAACTCACATATGACCTAAAATCACAAGACTATCTGAAGCTATTCACAGAGAACTGAACAAAAAGTTGCAGATTCTATTTATGCCTGATTGTAAAAATATTGACTCAGTAACAGTATGGGAAGAGTCATATGGGAAGAGTCAATATATTATTTCTATCTCAAACATTAAAACTTTAGATTTAACTCATTTCTTTTCCTCCGTCCTCACTCTTTCTGTAAAAAATAAGGTGTATGAAACATTTTATACCCAAGGCTACTAATACATGCCTAAGAACAGAAGCTATTATCTGAAAATTACAACATTGCAGATTCTTAAAATATTATCCATTCCACTCACCTGCCACTATCCAAGTAAACAAAGAAATATTCTATCATTTAAATTTTCTAAGTTTTAAGTTTCCCATTATTATCTTTGTTTCATAATTTACACTTGCAAAAATGTATACATTGTATGAGGGGCTGGATGTGTAGGTCAGTTGGTAGAGTGCTTGTCTCGCAAGCACAAGGCCCTGGGTTCAAGCCTCAGCATGCCCCCCCCCAAAAAAATATATATATATATATATATATATATACACACACACACACACACACACACACATTGTGTGAGACTTCTTTCAGGTAAGTAAGTAATTGTTCAATAAATTATCATTCCAGAGCACTCACTAACACTCTTATGAAGTTTGAGAAAAAGATGGACATCTTAAAAAAAAAAAAAAGAGAGAGAGAGTGTCAAAACTCCTATAAAATACTTAGAAAAAAATACTCCACATAATATTTTCATTTACATAACTCATTTAAACCTTTTTTTGGTTTAGTACAAAAAGACTTTAGCTTGAAAATCACTGTGGATTACATAAACAAAATTACTATCACCAAATCTATTTCTGGCATATATAATAATATTAGTTAAAATCAATTTTTATATACAAGTTAGTCAATTGCATAATTTAATTTTATTTCTTGGCAATTTAGACACTCACACTGGCCATGTATGATGGTGCATGCCTATAATCCTAGTGACCAGGGAAGCTAAGACAGAAAGATTACCAAGTTCAAGGCTAGCCTCAGAAACTCAGTGAGGCCCTAAGCAACTAAGTGAGACCCTATCTCAAAACAAAAAGGGCTAGGGATATATACCTCAGTGATAAAGGGGCCCTGAGTTCAATCCCCAGTACTAAATATCAAAAAAGCAAGAAAAGAAACTCACACTGTCCTCCACATCTCCAGTTTTCCAGCCTTTTAACAGCATTTTAGACACAGGAATCTGAAGTTCATTTTCTAGAATCTGTTTAATTTCTCCTGTATAAATAAAAAAAGACCAAAGATTACCAACAAAAAAACACTGCCAACATTTATCCATAATAGGACTAGCATTAATATTTCCATATAGTATACAATGACATTTTTCACATGCATGATATTTTTAAAATTTAATCCAAACTTCAAATTTCCTTGATCAAACAACTTAGTGCCCCCTTGAAAAACTCAGGCTTCAACATTAATTATGCAAAAATCCACAATTAATTAAATAGTTCATTAATTAATGTACTAATCTGTTTAAAAGCATGGCTTCTAAATAAATAGATATCAGTGACTAGGGGTTTGAATACAGAAGCCAATCAATTGACAATATCTATCATGTGCTCTGTATATGATAGGAGTAGCAGATAAAGTAATAATAATAATAGTTCATAGAGATTAGGTTTTATAATGAAAATCTATGTTGAAATTTTATTTTGGGAAAATAAAATAACTTGCCTGCTCTTATTTCTGCTTCTATAAAATGGAAAAGAAAATCACCTATCTCATGTATCCATAGGATACAAGTATGAAAGGAGATAATATACCTTAAATAAGAAGAGACTGAAAAAAAAAGCCAATGTATATGATCTACAAGACAATTTAAATTTTATTGAAGAGTAAAGCAAAAGAATTTCAGAGGGCAGGGGGAAACTAGAGATGAAACTTAAGGAAATTCTATTCAGTAAAGATACGAAATTGAAAGGTTTTTATAAAAAAATTGAACAAGATGCTAATGAGAAACAGTGAGGAAGCACAATTTTTCCATATTTTTCAGAAATTCTTTTTCACAAATCACATCTACTTACAAATTAATGCTATGAGCTCTCATACCATGCTATTTGAAACAGAACACTGAATCAAAATATGCAAATCTGTCATATATCTGCTTATACTGGATTGCTGCTGGTCTATAATTTTAGAGTAAAAATAATTTAATTTCACTTAAAAATAACAGAAACATCTGATCTAGTTAAAGAGGGAAAATAATTCCATGCCATTAAAGGAAAAGCAAGAGGAAAAAAACTTATGCTGCATAAGTTCTATGCAACACAACTGCTGATGTAGGTAATGCTACAACTTGCCTCAGTGATAATTTTTACTTTCCAAAAGAAAGTTCCTATCTGGACACTTTGGATAGTGCCTCGCCATCATAAAAACAATTCTAGCTCAACACTATATTTGTAGAACAAACTTTAATCAACCTTGTCATTCAAAAATGTCACTGCTGACAAAGAAAGTATCATTCTGTTTACAGAAATAGTAAAAAGGTAAGCTTTATTTTTCATACTAAACACATATAAACATTGCCTTTTCATTCAGGCTAAGGCTGGTATTTCTGGAGCTGTGCCTGTCTAGAACTGGGCATATGCATTTGCAAAAGTCTGTTCAATGCTTTCTTCTTCTCAGAAACATACTTCCACCTGACACCTCCTTCTTACAATCTTGAAAACAAAAAAACAACCATTAAAAAAATTTAGCTTAAAGTCTCAATTACTGGGGGCTGGGGTTGTGGCTCAGCCATAGAATGCTCACCCAGCACATGTGAAGTGCTGGGTTCTATCCTCAGCACCTCATAAAAATAAATAAATAAAAATAAAGATATGGTGTCCAATTGCAACTATAAAAATATTTTTTTAAAAAAAAAGTCTCAATTACTCTTTGCAGAAAGCCTGAAGAATGAAACCAAAAAAAAAAAAAAAAAAAAAACTTTTGTCCACAGACAGGAATAAAAAGCAAAGTCAGTTATCTAATCTTCTTTTCTCCTCCCCCTTACTGCTACCTTTTCTTGTCCTCTAAGAATTCTACTACAATTCTCACTATTCTGTTCTTTTTCTATGAAATCAACTTTGTTAGCTTCAGAATATGAGTTGAGAGCATGTGGCATTTGTCTTTCTGTACCTGGTTGATTTCACTTAATGATCTCTTCTTTCATCCACTTGGACACAAATGATAGGATTTCATTCTTTTTATGGCTGAATGATATTTCACTATGTATCTATATCACATTTTGTCTACTCACATCCCCACCAGTTAATTTACATCCCCATTAAGAGTGACAGTTCCCCTTTTCTCTTCATATTCACCATCATTTTTTGCTTTTTCATTTTTACAGGTTTTCTGACTGGGGTGAGATGTTATCTCACTGTGGTTTTAATTTATATCTCCCTAACAATTAGTAATGTTAGCATTTTTTTCATATATTTTTTGGCCATTTGTATAACTTCTTTCCAGAAATGTCTACTCAAATCAGGCCTCCACTTTTTTTTTTTTTTTTACAATAAGGCTCTCATTAATTTGTCAAGGATGAACTTGAACTACATGGCTCAAAAGATCCTCTTTCCTCAGCCTGCTAGGAGTACAGGCATGCACCACTACTCAGGCATGTTCACATGTGTGAGGACTGGACACCGAGAGCTTTACATTTGAGCTACAACCCCAATCCTTTTGATTTTTTGAGACAGGGTGTTGCTAAGTCACTGAGGGGTCCTGTTAATCGTTGAGGTTGGCCTGGAATTTGACATTTTCCTACCTCAGCCACCTGAATCACTGGAATTGTATTAATTTTTTTTAATTTTTTAATATTTATTTAGTTAGTTTTTCGGCAGACACAACATCTTTTTTAATTTTATTTTTATGTGGTGCTGAGGATCGAACCCAGCACTGTGCTCATGCCAGGCAAGTGCATTACCGCTTGAGCCACATCCCCAGTCCTATTTGATATTTTAAAAATCAGATTATTGGGTTTGTTGTTGCTGCTGTTGTTGAAGTTTTTTATTTTTTATATATTCTGGATAGTAATCTTATCAAATATTTCCAAAATCTTTTCTTATCAAAGTTTCCAAATATTTTCTCCCATTGTTTAGTTTGCATCTTCATTATAATTAGGAGGGGTAAGTTCTAATTTTATACAGCACAGTTTGGTGACTATAGTTTAACAACTTATTATATATTTTATGAAGAACTGAAAGGACTTTGAAGGCTCCAAACACAAATAAATGATAAATTTTTAAGGAGATGGAAATGCTAATTAATTACCCTGATTTGACTATTACACACTAAATACATGTATCAAATTACCACATTGTATCCCATAAACATGCACATTTATGTGCTAATTAAAAAAGAAAGATTGAAGTCTTTTAAATTTGCACTGGAGAAACTCTAAAATATTTTCACTAATAATAAAAGTAACACATACATATTTTAAGAAAAAAATACAAAAAACAATTCCTATATCAACCCCCCCCAAAAGAAAACAAAGCCAGAACCACGACAACAATCTGAGTTCCTCATATTTTAACAATTATTCTGTATTTACCTCAATTCAAAAAATGTTGGTTTGAGTTGTATCATTATTACAACTCATGAGGTAACATATACAATTACCTGGTTATTGTGTTTTAGGATATCTAAAATAATTTAGAGCAGAAAAATGCTATAGTACAACAAGTCTCATTCCTACTTGGATCTGCCTAATTCCCAAAAACTTACCACAAAATAGCACTGCCTTTAGTGTTCACCCCTCTTCCCCATGTTATTTGGACAATTGTCAAGATAGGCCATTGTCATCAAGAACAGATCACTGAATCCAATAGCTTACTTTAAAAAAAAACAAAAAAAACCTTGAGGTACCTCAAAAATTAAAAATAAAACTACAATTTGAATCAGCAATTCCACTAACAGGTATATGTCCCAGTGAAATCAGTATATCTAAGAAATCTGTACTTCATGTTCATTGTAGCACTGTTCACAATAGCCAAGAAATGGAAACAACCTAAGTGTTCATCAGTGGGTACATATACACAATGGAATATTATTCAGTCATAAAAAAATACTATCTTTTGTACAACATGAATGAAAAATGGAGCTCATTATGCCAAGTAAAATAAGCCAGGCGCAGAAAGAGAAGTACCACATGATTTCAATCAGATATAGAATCTACAAAACTTCACAGAAGTTCATAGATGTTGAAAGTACAATGGTGGTCACCAGAAACTAAGGAGTAGGGAAGAAGAGGAGAAAGGTGAAAGGCTAATCAATGAGTACTAAGAAACAGAAGCAAGAAGTCTGGGCTTGCTGTATACTGTATATTTTAAAGTGCTAGAAGAAAGGATTTTGAAAGTTTTTACCAGAAATGACAAATATTTGAGGAGATAGATATGATAAACACTATACTTTCATGCAGGTATATGTGGTATAACTTGGTACTCCAATAATATCACATTAATATCCCTAATGTACATTTTTAGGTTTAATATGTCAGTTAAAAATAAAATTTTAAAAAAAACTTAATTGAATTATAATTTACAAATAATAAAATTATTTGTGATTTTTGAGGTGAGATTTAACAATATTTTCATTGTTGCAATCACCATACAATCAAGATAAAGAACATTTCCTGTAACACAAAAAGCCTACTTATACCATTCTGAAATTAAAAACCAGCCTCCATACCAACCACTGATCCTCATTTTCATCCTAAAAATTAGTTTTGTCTGTTTTCTTTTCTGTCCATGTTGTTCATCCATGTTACTATATATATCAATTATATAGCTCCTTTTCATTGCTGAGTACTATTCCTTTATGTGGTTGACAGCTTCTGAAATGGCTTCCAATCATCCCACCTCCTATTGCCCTTTATAAATCTCCTTGAGGGTGGTTGTATCTAACTATTGTTTCTATAATGGTCAACAAATATATAAAAAAAAATATTCAACATCTCTACCAATTAGAGAAATGCAAATTAAAACTAGGATTCCATCTCACTACAGTCAAAATGACAACTATCAAGAATACAAGTAACAATAAATGCTGGTGAGGATGTGGAGAAAGTGTACACTCATACATTGTTGGTGGGACTGCAAACTGATGCAATCATTATGGAAAGCAGTATGGAGATTCCTCAGAAAACTTGGAGTGGAGCCACCATTTGACCCAGTTATCCCACTCCTTAGTTTATACCCAAAGGACAACATACTACAGTGATGCAGTCACAT